AAACACACGAAACAATCGCAACTTATTTCTTGATCGTTTACATAAAAGGTCCGTACTTAGCTTTAGCATTGAAATAAGCAAAATTAAGCTTGGAAACCTTGAATACGTAAAATAAGCAATTCCAAGCAAAAGCTTAAACTTTTCGGCCTTGGTCATAACAATAACAATTACAATCAGGGACGTAAACCGGTTTTGAACCGGAAAACCGCTATTTTCTATTAATTAACTGAACCATTAACCGAACCGAAATTTTTCACAAATGTTTGATCCGAACCGAAAACCGAACCACTTTCTATAAAGATTGAAAGGTTCGTCTCAACCAATTTTCAATAGATAAATGTACTCACTTTTTTTTCTTTTTGGTAAACATGGTAATACCCATCATGTTTGTTTACCATGTGACAATATCAAATGTAAAGGCAACCCATCTCATACCCTTAACCTTGCGCGTTGTTGCACTTGACACTTGACACTTAAACTTGCGCGTAATTTTTTTGTTTTTCGAACCGTTGAACCGAACCGAAACCCCGGTTCAAAGACCAAAAAAACCGCTTTGGCGAACCAATCCAAAAGTGCAAAAACGGTTCGACCCGCTGAACCGAACCAAACAAATTTTTCATCCGGTTCACGTCCCTGATTACAATTGTCACCATTAGAGCGCTTAAAAAAAAATTGCGGCATAGTATTAGACGCAGTAGTAACGACAGCCGTTGAGTTTTGTCATAACTTCTTCATTAATGCAGCTAGGAACATCAAAATTCGCACCGTTTTCACTCATTATTAACAGAATAATTACAGTGAAAATAACAAAGATCGGGTCACTATAACATATATCTCCCATACAACTGATTGTTCAGTTATGAGAATTTTTGTTATAACTCCTCCATTTATGCACCTAGGAACATAAAATTTTGCAATACTTCCACCCGTGAACAACAGAATATACAATGAAAATAACAAAGATCGGGTCACTTTTACATATAGCTCCCATACAACTGATTATCCAGATATGGGGTTTTACTGTAAAACTCCTTTATTTGGACAGCTAAAACCGATAAATTTCTTAAGATATTTTATAAACAATAATACAAAGTCTACTGAGAAAATCGTCAACATTTATGCTATATGAGCTTTATCTCTTTTACCACTGAATGTTCAGATACCAGTTTTTGCGATATGTCTCCTTTATGTAGGAAGCTAAACCCATTAAATTGTGTTACCGGTTTACGTACCGATCACACAGCAGTGAAAATTGCTTAGATTGGTGCTATATAAGGTATATCTTGCATACCTCTGATTGTTTAGATATGATTTTTTACACATGTATCTCCTCTATCTATGTATGATGTGAATATATAAATTTTTTCAAATGCAGTAATCTGTTAAAGTCAAATTTTCAGATACTCATGAAAGGTATGAAGCCTTCGGCATAGCCGAAGACAGCGCTGCTCTTACTTGTTTTAAATTAATATTTATAAAATTACATCTACATTTCTCATCCGATTTTCATTATCTTCCACTCAAAATTTACTATAATGACATACCCTGGCAATCAAAAGTTAGTACATGTCCAGTACGGAGAGAATCTAGTTTAAATATCGATGTTCAACTAGTTTTTTACACACCACAACTAGTTGAAGATCTGGCGTTCTTCCTTGTAACGAACTGTTGACTTTAACACGGCGATGTCCTAGGTATAAGTCAATTATTCGACTCTGCATTTGATTTCAACTACTTTAAAATACATTTAACTTAACGCACTTTGAAGTCAATCGTTTGATTATGCTTTCGTTCTGCACTTTACAGATGCTTTTTTATAATTAAGAAAAGCCGAAACTAAAAATTTAAAATTAAATGTTTCGCCTAGTTAGATTTGAACATGGACATTCTTGGCTGCGACCAATTGTAGCAAATGTGCTTTCAAATGGTCAGTGCAAGCAACAAGTCGATTGTCCGACTCTGCTTTTGATTTCAATGAGAAGTAAAACCAAGTACTTTTCAAATAATAAAGTAAAAAAATATCACGTTTAATGTATTTGTCAGTAATGACCACATGTTATAAAAAATAAGCTTGTTTTGTTGCTTGTGTGAACAACTTTAGCTTTATTTTTTGTAGTTACGTGAGCGATCTTCGGGTGAAATTTCACCCACTTTCATAAAGATAACATAATATTCGCGATATATATTTTTACAGGTTGTTTAAAATAAAACATAATAAATGTCTTTCACAATAAACTTGATATGAACAAAAATTTATTGCGATTTATGTTACTTTGTTTGATGAAAATATATATACATAAATTTGAGGTTAGTTGCTGGATAAGTAGAAATAAACTAATTTGACTGAGGTAATTGGTTGAGCTACTCCGTACTGGGTGGTGTTTCCTTTTAATATTTGCAATTATTTTCAAGTTAATTTTTTTTTTGTTATTTTCCTATAAAAATATGGTTCATGCTTTAATCGAAACCACGCAGTGAAAATTTCAAACTTTATACAGAACTTAGAAAAAATCAACAAATTTTCGTCTAAATTTTGAACCTTTTAATCAGAATTTTTAGAAAAATTTTGAGTACGCTATCTGCTTTCTCGGTTTCTTTAATTCTATTAAATCATTTGGCTCATTCCACTGTGACGGGTGTGACATTTCAACTCACATTTTAAGGCTTAATTCTTAAACTGTAATACAAAATTCTTTAAAACGAGTATTTTGTAATAGGTTTCCGAGATATACACAATGCCTAGAATAAAAATTTCAAAAACAATTTAATCCGAACGAGTTATCTTAATTTTAGCCACTGTGACGGGTGTGACGAGTACGCAAACCAAATTAGCTACTCCTTACTTGCATCAGAGTTTTTCTGCTAATTATGTCTTCTGCTTATGGTTTTAAATAGTTCGTTGTATAGTTAAATAAACATTCTCAACATTTATGCCAAAGTTGCTTACCGCTATTGGAAATTATAGATTATATGTTCCAAATTCAACTGTGACGGGTGTGACTTGACTTTGTGACGGGTGTGACAAGTTGAGCAAGAATACATAAATACACATTATTAGACAACTAAGCTAACTTTATTCCTCAAAAAATCGGATTTTACGAACACATACAAGATTCTGCCACCTAAAGACGGGATAATCCTTGATCGGACTCTTCTTCTCCATTGTATGCCTTAGTAATTGTAAAGTACCTTATTTTTAAATATGTAGTATGAGCCTATTACCTGTCAAACCGAGGCCGTTACCTGTAAAAACCGTTTTAGATACTTTTTTTGCTGGCACGCGAAGTAATGGTTTCTTTTTATCCGTGACAGCATAGCTTAAGTTTTCCCATCGCTCGAGCAACATATCTTTATGATTAGCTTTATCATCGCTGATCACAAACAGATATATGACACATTTCAGATTAGCAGATAAGTAACGGTAGCAGTCCCTGACCGAATTTATTGAAGTTTGTCAAACTTTAAATTGTGACGGGTGTGACATGTGACGGGCGTGACCAACATAATCGGTTCATTTTTCGAAAATAAAAGCATATAAATACTTAAAAGCAATTCGCACATATTTCCTTGTGTCATAGCGTTACTTTCGTCTGCTTTTTTACACTGTCCATGATGTGTTTTCCTTCACAAAATAACTATTTTGTGTATTTTGTGACGGGCGTGACATTAAAATATGCTTTTAGTACTTGCCCGAAAAATTTGAAAATTACGCCGTTACAATGGTAATGAATTATTCTATCCACTGACTACGAAAATCAGTCTTGTAAATTTAGAAAAAAATTAACCTCTCATATGGGTTTATAATGGTACAACCTAAAGTAAAAAAATATCTGATTTTGAGATAAATTTTAGAATTTTGGCTTTCAGTCTTGAAAGTTAGATTTATTTACTCTTACTTACTAGAAATAATACAGTCACATTCTTTAGTTTATTTCCGTTTCATTCGGTATCGATTACCGTGGAATGAGCCATTTGAAAATTTTCAGCGGCTAAAAAATCTCATTGATTTTTTGATGAATTTTTTCCGACTGATTTTGCGGTGTGTGAACATGCATGTAACAAATACAATTTATAAAATATAGCGCTAATTTTTTTAATTTAGCTTGCAAACGGTCTTGCAGTAAAAAAAATCAACAAAAATCAACGCGTCTAGGTATATACATACATATGTATGTATAAATTAGACTAAATTGTACGACTCGACAACACTGGCATTGCCTGCTGTCGTGCCAAGTTTTTCCGTTTTAATACACTAGTCGAGTGGAAATTTTAGGCAATGACGTGAACTGGACGACACGACTGGCAGTGAGGGTGATAATCTCATTATTCCTTATCGCGCGAATTTATTTAGTACTTGCAGCTTGAAATCAGGTCATATGGCCAGCGGTTATGTGTATCTTTGGCATTTCAGAAAAGTATTACGTTCGTCATTCGAAGCTCGATTCCTCAAGCCCTTTCTATAAACCTCTATAAACAACGATAACTATGACTACTACGAGTTTGATTGGGAATATAACATCATCCCCCGGCTTTAGAGAGATTAAAGAAATAACAGTTGAACTATAGAGTGGACCTACACAAGAATACTTAAGAGCATAAAATATGGAGCAAAAAAGAAGAATCAGTTGAAAACATTTGAGGGATTCATAACGGTGTCCTAAATGTCGCATTGTTGTATGTCGTAACCTTAAAAAGCTTAAATAAATGCTTAGAGAACTTAAAATCACAACCAACTATTTTTTAACACTGCGACAATGCATAATATCACTTTGTTGGTACTTTGCGAGCCCCCTTAATATATTTTTTACGCGTTTAAAGTTTACGACATACAACAATACGACACTTAGTACACCGTTGTGAATACCCTAATTATGATTATAATCTTTTTACAGCGAAAGTTCAAACAAAAGTAATCGTGCTTTTGAAGGCAGTATGTTTAATACTCTAAAAACTAAAACAAAATCTTAATACTTCGAAACGAAGCTTAATATAAAACTTACCTTTGGACAATTTTCACATGGATATTTTCGAATATCGTTATGTACTAAGGCGCGATGCTTCAGCAATAAAGGACGATGACAAAATGGTTTGCTACACAATTCGCAAGCGAAATCGTCTTTTCGAAATGAATGTTTGGCTACCAAATGATGATCCAAACTGAAAAGAAAAATTTTACAAGACATATAATTAAAAAGCAGAAAAGAAACAAGCAAAAGATTAGAAGATACTGGAGAGCAGCTACCTTAACTTAAAGCATAATATCCTTTTTAAGAAAACTGAAAAGCTCCTTTATTATTATTATTATTATGGGCCATATCTATTGTGCGCGGCCGTTTATTCTACAAGAACTCTTATAATTATCATTTGAATCAAAACAAGATTTACATATGTTAAAAATCTTAAGAGATGAAGATTCCAAATGATATATTTCACATGCTAGTTTCGCTTCAAAATGAAGTAACAATTTAGTACAACATTCAATTGTCCAATCGAGTATTTTAATAAAACAAACCTAATGAGTAATAAAATTATAGTTAAAAAAAAACAACAACACGTTTTTATTACAATAAGAACTAAAAAGAAAAAAATTATTTATTGATTTAAAGATTCGTTAAATAAGGATATGAAGTCCCCTAACTTGATGTTATTTAACCTTTTAAACTAGCTGAAAATAGGATTTAAGTAATTGGCACGTAGTCATAGTCTAAATAAAGTCCACTGAAAAGTTAGTTGCAGTTATTTTTTACAGCCATCCCATTGGAAACATACAGCACCCCATTGGTAGAGGGCTTCGGGTGTACGAATTTGTTGTAACATCAGGGGTTGAAGACTTGCTCTAGCTGCTAGTCTCTTAAAATTTCCTCCAATCACGTCGTAAGCAGATTTCCCATGTGAACTTGCAACAAAGTTCAATTCTGCCATTTCCTTGAAGGGCTTTTCATGATTTGAGACCTTTTAGTAAAGTTAATATCATTTATTCATATTGTTTTTGTTTTTTACACACCTTTCCCCTTTCAAAAATATACCATTTCATAAAAATTCAATGTCTATTTATCGTATTGCTCGAGCGTTAGACGATCGCGAGTCAACGCATAAGTAGCCCATTAAAGTTGACATTATAGAGAATGTTTTTATGTAAAAATAAAAACTTTTAAAAATGCTATAATCAAAAAAAATTCAAAAAGAAAAATGCTTACTTAATTTTTTTTGTTTTTTATACGTTGCACATTAAAGTAAAAGATGTACAATTAAAGCTCGTAATAAGACGGAAGAAATACATTTTTTATCATTAAGTTTCGTTACAAGGTTTCCAACATGATTCAATAATACAAGGTTAGATAATTATTGACAGCCGCGAATTGACACTCCCTTACAAAAGGTTGCATTTACGAAGGACAGAGAAAGGAGAAGAAAGCAATCCCTTGTTGCGAAAATGGTAGTAGATAAGTACGCAAAGTAGGCAATTAGTAGTGAAATTCCTTTTGTAAATTCTAATGTATTTGCAGGAAATCTGGCATTTTAAACGAAATATTAATATATCTACGTGAATTACGTAATTTATGTGCTATTTAGCTATATAAAAACTATAAATGGACTCAAAATTAAAATAAAACTACTATGAGATTTATGTAAACATCCAATTTGAAAAGAACTTATGTTTTCATCAGTTAAATGTGCTTAATACGCATATACAAATAAACAAATGGCACAAAAACTTATACCTCTATTTCACAGCAAAGCTACACTTTTCCAAGTAAATTTGCAAAGAAGCAACACCGTGCCACTGCTAAGGGAGCGGTGCGAGAGAGACAACTCTCAGTTTATCGAACCTTGTATTATTGAATCATGGGTTTCCAAGATACAGTACTTTAATGAAAGGTATGACGTTTCCTTAAAATTTAAGTCCCGTGTAAATAGGCAACCCTTCGTCATATGGGCAAAATATGCTGCACGTATATTCATGTCACCTAGACCTTCAATCTCTTCAACTTTCATCCAAATGCTGAGGGGTCGCGCACAGAGGTGGCCGCGGTGACATGAAATGCCTCAAAAGTACTATAAAATCTTAGAAAATGTTGGCAACCCCAGTGCCTGCTGAGCACCTCTTTCAAAAGCTGGTGCTACAGCCACCGAGAAACGCAATCGCTTAACAACAAAACGCTTATCAGAACTTTAGTTTTTGCAACTTGGTTAAATAATAAATAATAATCGCCGCTAAAAGCATTCGTTTTGACAAGAGAATTTGAAATTTTTTATGGAGAAGTATTTTTGTGAATATTGATTGTAAAAAGTGCCTTTAAAAATTCGATTAACCGGTTAATATTTTTTTTTGGGTTGTGATTAGTCATATGACAAATTAATCGATTATTTTTTCCAATCCCTAAGTTTAAGTGCGACGTTTGGGAATTCTAAGTATTTTAGTAATATCGAGCACTAACCGCAAAAACGACGTAAGCAACATTTTTTTTTTTAAATTTTCCCTTTGGTGCAGGAATGTGCCTAAAGTATCTAGAAGCATTTAGGTATCAAAAATAAATAAATTAAAAAAAATGCCGCTTACATGTTTTTGGAACTCCCAAGCACAGAAGAACGCATCAGAGGTCGCCATCTTTCATATCCACTGTGGTGTTTGATTCATCGAGGTTTGGAAATAATACTTAGACTAAAAGGCGAATAATGAATCTTATGGACTCTAAATATGATATTCGTTATCACTCTCAAATGAAATGGCGCCAAAACCGCTCTTCGTATCGACCGTGTAGTTCTAATATCTGTGGACATTTGACAAAAGAACTTAAGTCTATCTTTCACAGACAAAGAAAATAGCATATGTCGGCAAAACTCTTTTCACCGTCAGAGCAATCAATTATATTTAAATTAAAAAATGCAGTCGTTGCAAACAGAAACATTTTCAAAGCTTGTGAATAGCGATAAAATAATTTAACATTTCTTTCGAATTGCAACATTTTTCTCTTGGACGGTAAAATATGTTTTGTCGACATATGCTATTTTGTATGTCCGTGAAAGACAGACTTAAGTTGATTTGTCAAATGTCCCTAGATATGTACTACGTGTTACTATCTCCGGCCGCCCCCTCCCCTACACCTGGTAAATATTCACAAAACACCCTTCTCACATCTGCGATCATAGTTACATGCGCACCTATAAAACTAAGTTTTTGCTAGGCCCGTGGCCAGCTTTTTTTATCGGAGGGAGCTGAACAACAAAAACAAATTGTATGTAGTACATATACATAAATATAATATTTGTTGTATGAAAAATTAGGATCATGAAAGATATACTTATGTCAATAAATATACAACTTTAGATTGAAAAAAACCTTCAGCCTTTCTTTATGCGAATGGCTATCTTGAAGTCAGTCAGCATAGAAAAATATGCTACAGATGTTTACCCCATCTACCTCACCAATTTTGTTAGGTGGAGTGATATTCGTAAGAATAATTTAATAATTCTAAGCATATTTTGAATTACGTAAAAACTGACAGAAAAGAAATCGGAGTTCTATTCTTTACTTCGCAACAATTATATGAGAGCAAAACAAAAACTTAAATAACTTTGACTTAAATTGTATCTGTTCAGCTTCTGCGATATATTGAATCTACTTTGAAATAGGGCGTGTTTGAACCATTTGCTGAGATAGGGTGTTCTTCAAACCCAAATCTGAAGTTAGGCGATTTTGAAAAATTTGCTGATATAGGGCATTTTCGAACCGGCTGCTGAGATAGGTCGATCTTGCACCCGGCCGTCGATATGTATATTCTGAGTTTGGGGCAAATCGGACCATAAATTAGATATTTTCAGGATAGCTGGACCACTGCGTCACCAATCAGAAAAATTAAAACTGTTCCTTCTAAACACCTTTCCAACAAAACTACAACCATTTAAAGAGATAGAGTATATGTATTCGATTAAGAATGCCCATCATTTGGCTTTCCCTGATTCCATATATACACATTTTATCTTGCCTTTTTTAAGATATTTGCCTTTTTTGGCTTTTCTACCTTTAATTGTAAAAGGCACGGAAAAAGCCCTTGTTCTAGATAATGTGAAAGTTTTAAACGTTCCATATTTAATTGGGCTCCACGTCGAGAGCACGTTTAGTACATTCAAGGCTTTTATACGCGAAAATCGAACGAAAATTCTGCCATAAAACCTCAAAATGCATCTTGTGGTTCAATGTTACTACAATTATAGAGATTAAAGTTTTGTGAAATAAAAACTGGAAAGAAAAAATTAGTCAAAGATTTAAAGTAAAAATTTTTCATATAATGAAACTAGTTCATAGTTTTTCTCTTTTTACTTGTAAAATAAACATTTCTAAAATAAATGTATTTTTTGATTATTTTTCTGTTTTTGTCTGTTTTTAGTGCCTTAGTTTGCCCTTTTTTGCTATTTCCAGTGCCTTTTCCTGCCTACGTGACCCATTACACTACATGGTAGATTCTTTATTATTTTCATGGTAGAAAACGAACGCATAGTAAGATGATAGTTCTTGGCGCAAAAATATGTTTCATTGCAGCACTCCAACAATTTTAAGACTTTGCTATTGTTTCACATATGGTGGTCGGTATTCTGCTCATACCACTGACAGCGACATTCTATCATCAATGTATGAAGTTTACTTTTCCAATTGACCCTCTTTATTGTTTACAGCGAAATTAGAACAATTGAATGGTGGTTAGAATACATATTAAACAAACATGTAGGCTGACTTGAAAATCACGAAACGATGAACATAGCATAGTTCAGGTGATTACTTGAACTGTGAATATATCTTGGTTTTGATATATTTCCTTGATTCTCGTTTGAACTCCACAAACATGACCAGCCATATTTGCTACTCCATCATATCCCTGTCCAAAAAGCTTGCCCATAGGACATTTGTCAGAAGACTCATTATGGATTGGGAGAAAGCCAATGAGAAATTCGCGTAGTACTGGAGTTCGTGAATCCTAAAAGAGTTCGACGTGTCGTACACATAGTGAAATCTGGGTTCGAATCGTAACATCGGTTCACGGATCGAAAACCATACCAAAGAAAATTACGTGATACGTCAGCCGTATAAGCTGAATAGGATAAAGAGCACATTCATGTATGTGATAATCCGAACAATTTTTGCGTGACGAGTAATACGA